GAGATTCCGCCTGCACAGCGGCTCCCAGCTCCTCCTGTTTGCTGCCCACCCTGCGTGCACCGGTGCGGATGCACTTCAGTTGGGCCATTGATCCTGCACCTTTTTTGGTGGAAGTAGCCACAAGTCCTATGTGACTGTTCTTAGGCACTTCCATGGTTTCTGACACGTTTTTGCTGCCTCATGGATCTTCATCCCCTACCTCCACTGAGATGGCTGACCAGCTCCCAGCTCCTCCTGTTTGCTGCCCACCCTGCGTGCACCGGTGCGGATGCACTTCAGTTGGGCCATTGATCCTGCACCTTTTTTGGTGGAAGTAGCCACAAGTCCTATGTGACTGTTCTTAGGCACTTCCATGGTTTCTGACACGTTTTTGCTGCCTCATGGATCTTCATCCCCTACCTCCACTGAGATGGCTGACCAACGGACCTGAGCAGTGCACCGTCCCTCAGACGTTCACTTCTTCATATACAGTAACAGCCACAGGAATTACAGTTCTGCACTGATTATTGATTTCTGTGTCTTTCCAAAAGAAGTACTGGCTTAATTCTGCAAATAAATTGTACACCTAAGTCAGATATTTCTGGTAGGTAACTTAGTAAGTGTAGAGCACTTGATTATACTCAAATGAAGTTCTTTCAGTTGGAGGAAAACAAATGTTTCAGTAGTTCTGCATTACCTTGTAAGAAATCTTCCTCAAAGTAAAGATATGCACCTACTGCTTTTTAATCCTTGTTTGCTAATGGATCCTTTTTACAGATGAAGTGTACTCCTTAAAATACATTTTAAGATCAATAGTTCATCGTCAAGTGCAGTTATGTGGATAAAAAATAATTAGAATAAGTGTTTTGCTATGGTTTCAGAGGTTTGAATTTGTACTCTGTGCATTTCAAGAGGCCAAGTGTTCTCTAGTGTTGTGTGTTTCCCATTAGGGCAATGTCCTCTGCTGAAAATCTGGAGGTAATTTTATAGCGGTCAGTCATGGGTTGGTTAGCAAGAAAGATCTACCCCAAAAAAGTTCTGGTTCCATTGAGACACAGTTGTCTTGAAATAGTTGTTTTGAAATGCAATTTGAAGGCAAAATGGAATAATTGTGGGAAAGGATCTTTGAAACAGCTCATTTTCCTTCTGATCTGCTCAGGGTTATGTTTTGCAGATTTTGCCATCTTTCCAGCTCACTAACAGTTCCTTCTTAAAGTTATGAAAGATAAAGGAGAGGCGGGGGTGGGGAATTACACAGTCTCCTTCCCCTTGAAAACAGAGTGTTCTTACTACTGCAGCCGATTACATCATTCCAGTTATGTATGAGGCAGAACAACTGGCTTCCAATTCCCAGAAGAGCCTCAAGAAAACAAAACGTCCAATTCCCGCCTCGGCCTGCAGCGTTTAAGCAGTCCGTTCTCATCCTTACATCTGAAACATAAGGCCTTTTACTGGCCTTTTATTAATCTACCCAGAGATTGGGTGTTCTGCACTGGAACTTGCCGTCTCTCCATTCCCCTCTTATTCCCAGCTGCTCAAAGTGTCAGGGTAGGAAGAGTGTGTTGTTCATTGCTCCATGGGTTGAACTTTGCTAGATGTCAGTTTTGAATCAGCTGTCATACCAGTGGATCACTTTTTGGAGAAGATTCTGGCTGTATTTTCTTTGTAGAGAAGCTAGATGAGTGGAGAGTGGATTGGACAGTACAGTTCCTGAACAGAAGCACCTTCTTGAAAAGATGATGGGAAATATGCCAGCTGTCCCACCTGGTGTATGTGAATTGAGAATTTACAGTAAGAGAAATTCAAGTGCTGCTGTCTTGGGGGGAAAAAAGCAGAATTGATCTTTCCTAGCCCTATTTACTGTTGTTCACTTTAGGATATATAACATCAGAGAGAAATCTGGGATGTAATTGGAATAAATACTATTAAATTCTTTTGTAATACAATCAGTTTTTAAAAATCTTTTTGTCTTCAGAGATCTTGACAAGGATTATTATAAATAAAAAATTATTATAAAAACCCCCAAAACCAAAACACAAAACTATAATTGTGACCTCTGCTTGTTTACTGTAAAAACTACAGAAAGGATTTTTCTCACGTGGAGTTGGCCGGTAGGTGCTTAAATACTCTAGGTGAAACTTTCTGCTGGCGAGTATTGTCTCCGTCATTTCATCCCACCTTTCAGGGCTTCTGAAATCTGAATCTACAGGTTCAGCCAATTAAATGTTGGGCTCCTTCATATAGCTTCGCTGTAACTCTTCACAGTATCGCCTCTGCCTTTTGGTCTCAGACCGAGGTTTCTGTTAGTGGTTTCATTCTCTGCACTTCCAATTTTCCCTTGGTTGGCTACCCTTTAATTTTATAATGTGTGTCATTGACTACATCTCTTAAAGTCTCTCTGAAATTCTATAGCCTGATGGCTTTTGGTTTTTGTTTTGGTGCTGCAACTACTTCAAGCTGACGAATGTGAAGAAGTTAGTTTTCTTGTTTGTTTGCTTTCTTTGAAAACCTCAGTAGCTGCCTCTTTGCTTTTGTGATTCATATCTAACGAACTAGGAAGTTTTGCAGTGGTTGTGTTCAGGGTTGTGTTTATGAAAGAGAAGGGCCTGTGTCCATGAAAGATTCCTTATTCCATGACTGTCATATAGTAAAAGATGTTACATCCTCTTACCGAGTTCACGAAGTAGGCAGCTGGCCCTCTGAGTGCCTTTGTTCCCCTTCAGGGTTTTACTCTCTTAAGACCAAGCTCTGTCTAACAGTTCTTCGCTGCACTCTGCTTTTAAACAGGTTTCCTCAGAGCACCTAAGACCTCATGAAGCAAGTTGAACACATGCTTGAGAAGGTCACTGATTGTTTGTTTTTTTAGGAAAATACTCTTCCTCTAGTTTTAACTGGGTATTCGCCCAAGCAATTCTTGAAAATTGTCATATAGTAAGGGTAGTAATAGAGCTTATTCCAGTTTGGTTTCCCAGAACATACGGTTCTTACTCCAAAGAAGATGCTGCTTCACTAGCATATGTTTTATAACTTCACCAGAGTAATTTTCAGATGATAGTGTGGGGATTACACTTCTGTGAACCTGATAGCTGGTATTTTCCAGCTCCTGACTCTCCTGCCAAAGCAGCATTTGTTTCATACAGATTTGTACATCATGCTTCCAACTTCTTTCTCGGGCTAGACGTTGGCCTGCTGTGAACGGAGAAGGATACGTACGATTGCTAGAGAAGGGAGTGGTGTTCTCATTGATTTGTTTGGTTTTTTTGGTGCTTTCTTTTTTTTCCTCCCCCTCACATAGCATGATTCTCCCAATCAGACCTGTATTTAATTGGCCAAGAGAGTGGAATTTTCAGTAATCAAGCAAACCTGGCTCCCGTCTCATGGCACAGGGAAAGGGACCCATGAACTCTGCTCATCTGCCTTAGAAACAGTATTGACAGGCTCTGAAAATTCACGGGTCTTCTGAGCGGGCATTGCTTGTGTTTTGCAGAGTGGAAATTGGCTAGTAAGGGATAAGCACTATAAAGGGGAATGTTGTTATCCTCCCTTCCTGAGACCCGGTTTTTATTTTTATTATTTTTTAACTTGTTCAGTGGATTTGGTATCTTCAGCTTTCCAGAGCCTGTGCTCATAGACCCTGCCCTGTGGAAAGAACTCGCTGTTCGTAGATGCAGCGCTGGGGACAACGGTGTTAGGCTAGTGTGCCATACCTGGCACGCGCAGCCTTCTGTGGCTCTGCCCGTCCCCTGTTCAGTTTTTGATTACAGCCCTCGTGTCTGGACGTATGGGGATCTGTGGATGGTAACTGTCCCCTTGTTTTGTTTCTGGAGTTAGGGACTCCCTCTGCTGTTTAGAACAAATCAAACAATTGTTTGTAAATGTGAGAGTTTTTATTTATATTAAACATTTCTTGCAAGATAAATGTAACACCCTTTAATGGTTAGCTTTTCAGAGAATATGTTAAAAAAAAGATAATGAAAATGCTTCACTAAGATTGTTTGATGTGTCAGTATTAACGTCAGACAGTTTTACCTGAAATCAGTTTCCTCTGTCACTTCCCTTTTGTAGTATTTAAGAAATACAACTGAAATGATTCATGGGAGACTGTCTCAAACCTGACACATTAAATCTTTTGCTACCAAAAAATGTTTTAAAAATACAGTAAGAGCCCAGTGATTACTTGAGGAAAAGGGGGGCAAACATTCAGCAGCAGCGATTGCCTCACAGGAGACTTTTTAACAGGCTCGCAATCTGTCAGTGTCTTCAAGAGAACATAGCGAGGAGTCGGGTAGCAAAGGTATAACGTCCATCACTCTGAACATCTTGATACTTGTTTTTTGTGTAGCAGAAACATTGCCTATAGAGGAAAACAGCACTTCCAAAGAACACCGGTTTTCTGAGGACTCTATGGATTCTGCACTTAATTCTGTAAATCCTTCAAGTCCAACCCGTCGAAACTCCACGGAATATCGTACTTCAGGGAGTGCAGCGTATTACAGAAATTCCCTTCAGCCAGTGACTGCTACCTCCAACTCAGCCCCGCTCCTGCGCAGGCTGTCCTTGAGCTCTGCGGGCAGCAGCGGTTACTATGAAGTTAGCAGGAGTCGAATACAGAGGCGGATTGAAGGTGTGGTGTATAGCTAAGCTTTCCAAAACACGTAACGGCTTTCATTAACATACAGAGTCTGTGAGTTACGAATAAAGACGTCTCTGCCGTAGAAAAGCTTGCATATGGAGGGAAGCGTGCTGTTGCCAAGCGTGGCAGGCTTGCTAACGTAACTGCAAGTGCGGGACTGAAGCCTGTTAGAACAGAGGCTGTGGTGCGAGCCAGGGGGTTCTTGCCTGCTGCACTTCCGCTGCTGTTACGGACCCTGCGGCAAGCCAGACCCGCAGAGGGCTCGCGGTATGCGGCTTGCTTCCCAAGCGTCTTACCCGCTGTTACCGTGTTGTTGAAATACGGGGGTAGGGTTCCCTCCCTCCCTCTGTCTGCACAGCTTAACTTGCCTTTGCCACATTCCCAAATTAATGGTGTCTTGGCACCCAGGAACCAAGTACAAGACTCAGTAATCCCTCGAGGTATGTCATAGTGCTAATGTTTATGCTGCTGTAAATATTTGCAGTAATATAAGGCATTTAAAGACAAATGGAACAGTTCAGTATTATTTGGAGGAAAAGAAAAGATCTTTTATTTTAATATATGGCAAAAAATGCATAATAAAAGCTGCCTGTTAATACTAAGAATGTCATGTAAAATAAAATGTGTTATCCCTGTGTAGACTGGTGATACTTCTTCCTTTCACAATATTTTTATGCTAAAAGCTGCAAGTTCCACAACTGGACCGGATTTGAATTCACTGAAAAGGGAACCTTCAAGAATATCAAATAAGGATCCTTCCACCTGGTCAATAGAGGAAGTAATGCGTTTTGTGAAAGAAGCTGATCCACAGGCACTGGCTCCACACGCAGAACTCTTTAGGAGACATGTAAGATGCATATCCGTTCTGTTCTAGTAGATTGTGTGTCACGTTAATCTCTTAAAATACAGCTTTCATGTCTGTCACTGTTTGCAGTTGGAGGTAGAATAGGCACTGCTTGTAATTAGAGGGAGGCTGAAAAGTATTTTTTCCACTTGCAACTCCTGTAGTATTTTTTTTTCTCTGTGTTCCAGTCTTGTTACTGAAGTAAATACCCTCTGCTTTCCAGCTGATATGGAATAATGCCAGTAGTGGAAGTATCCAAGTTCTGACGGCTAGCCTCCATGGTACCCCTGTCATCCCTGGTACCTCTAGAGAAGATGGCATTCTCATGCACAGCATGGGACATGTGGTGCATGAGACATAGGTGACACCTCTCTAAGACAGCCTGCTTTGGAAACTGATTATCCCGAGGCGGAGATGCTGTTATGCCTTGTTAGCTTTGCACTTGGCCAGTAATACTAAAATTCAGAGAAGCAGTTGAAATGTTGAATTCATATTTTGGAAAATGATGTGTAGGGTTTCATAAGAGCTATCTACGTGTTGTATGCTTTTTTTGCTCTCCCCTCTTCCTTCTCACTGCGCTTTTCCATGGAAGGTTCCTCAGCAAAGAGCTGCTTTCTTATTTCATTGTATATATGACCCTCCAGAAGAGGTTGGCTTTCTCTTTAGTAGTATTTCAGTAGGTTAGCCTGCACCAGCTAACCGTTACACCGACTGACAAATCTCAGAGTAAGCTGGATTGGAAGAAAGACTCAAAACAATTTTTAATGAAGCTTTCTGACCCGTGCTTTATGTAGTGACTAAAATGTCACTTGTTTTGTCAGGTTTACGTTCGTTAAAAAAATAAGGAGAAGTGGTTTTCTTCATGATGTTTAAAGGGAGCAGTTGCCTGTCTACAGTATGTAATGCTACTAAGAGCTTGGGACTGTCACATTTCAGCAGCTTCCCAACCAGGCAGTTGAAATCTGACTACGTTGTCCTTGGTCATGATCCTAACAATCTCTCTGGTTTAGCCTGGACATAGATCTGTCTTATGTCACAGATTTAGATGGTCTGTAACCCCTTCCTCTGTGTGACTGCTTGCATGCGCATGCCAGCATCCTCCCACAGCTGTGTTCAAGGTTCAGCGCAAGGCCTCAGTGCTTGGATCATTTAATCTCTAACTGCACAGACCTTCCTTTGCAGCAGCTTTTTTTTTTTTTTTTTCCCCTTGACCTATTCACTTTTTTTCCCAGCCAGTATCTAATTTTGAGGGCTGTTTGGTCAGTTTCTTTTACTTACTATTATTTTCTTTAACATCTCAAATCCCTTAATCTTGCATTAAAAAAATACTAAAATAAATTCAATTTCACTGGCCATCAAATTATACTGTTACTGTTTTATATGTAACAGATAAATTTTTACTACTGTATAAACAAATGTAATGCACTTCACGGTTTCATCACGCAGCTTGTTAAAGTAGTTGTATGTTGTTTATTCTCTTCCTTCTGCAGGAAATTGATGGGAAGGCACTACTCTTACTGAGGAGTGATATGATAATGAAATATATGGGACTGAAGCTGGGGCCTGCCCTAAAGTTGTGCTACCACATTGAAAGACTTAAACAAGGAAAGTACTAGTCCAAGGGGATACCAGAAATACGTGTGTTCGTCTCACACTGAGCTCTCAGGTTCACAGCCGACGCCTTTATTTGAAACTATTTTGCTGATATAAATCATCTTTATTTTTTGAAAGTACTCTCAAAATGTAAAAAAGACATTCAGGACAAAGGGAGGCAGGATGGAATCTGTGTTGCATTCTAGTATTTTGTGAACTGTTTCAGAAAGTTTACAGGGGGGGCTGTTGATCATACTGGGGGCAGACAGGTCGGGTAGCAGTGCCCTCTGAATCCTGAAAGGTGCGTTCTCCGTTACAGGCTTCAGCCAATGTGTTCATATTCAGAACCAAAACAGCTGAATCCCAAAGGAAAATAATAAAACAAGCCAGCATCAAGTGTTTGCAATTTTTACAGGGGTGGCTGTAAACTTTTATATTGCAAGAAAAATTTGAAATAGAAGATCTCCTCTCTCTAATGAATACTGTCTGGTCTGCCAGCAGAGAAATACTCTAGTATATTATTGTAGTTTATTTTTCCTAGATTTCCATAAGGGGAATAGCCATATGGATTGGTCACAGGGGATGGAGGTGTGGGGAGGGAAGGGTTATGGAGGGAGAGGGCTTAATACAAATATAAGCTTTTATAAAGTGTGATTATCAGTCCTTTGGTAAGTTATGAGGACAAATGTACGGTATATTGTCAGTTTATGCAGGCAATATATATTTCTGTTTCATGGAAGGACATATTGGCTGTATAAACAGCCATTTGTGGGACAGACTGATTTAACTGGAACAACGCATCCACATCTTAAACATTCCATCTTTTTGCTGTTTGGCATGGATATGTGTGTTCATGCTTTTTATACACACACATGTATGTGTCGGGGAAATACATACTATATATATTAAAAAATATACATACACACTGTACATATGTATTCAGTTTTTAATGTGTACTTTGCACTGTGCCAGAGAGCTGTACGATTTCTTGTTGGTTTTTACCAGTAAATATAGTTGTGTACTACTTCTCATATTCATTAGCGCCTGTTCAATTTGCTGTCCATTTTTGGAGTCAGAAGGTGACAAACAATCAGAAGGTGGCTTTCTTCATGCAGGTGAGATCCCTGTACTATGCAATACTCTTGGTTATGCGTCCCTTAACTCCGAGTCTTGTATTCTGGTGTATTTCTGCAAGAGACACATCTGGTTCCGATGTTTTGGGCTTGTATTTCCTATAAGGAAGTGCTACTGTGTACCTGATAAACCTTTTTTGGGTAAAATTGGTGCTGTTTGTATAAGCTGCAAGAATGACTGGTGATAATAAAGCAGTTTGTTATTGTAATATCCATCAGGGGCAAGAAAATATACTTGTTGTGTAGGAAACTGAATGTACTGTATGTACTAGTGCAAGTGATAAAAACTATTTGCTAGGGAAGGTGTAGTCCTGAAAGGGTAGGTTTTATTACATTTCTTGCTGCCTTTTTATATGAAAGCATATAGTATAAATGTATTTTTTACAAATGCCTTTTCTGAAAATGCCTTGCTTTACGGATAGTCTGATACTCCTCAGGTTTCAGCAGAGATACTGCTGCAAAATAATAAATTTTGTGGCTCACAAGTGTCCAAGTATTTTGTTAGTTTAAGTGACTGCAATGCAATTTTAATTTAGCAAGTCATTTGGACTTGGAGAATTGTTGTTGTTGTTACATCGTTAGACACTTGACACTAAAGGTTATCTCTATCGATTTGTTTTGCATATCTTTTTGTGGTGCGTGTATGTTTAGATGAATAATACAGACATGCTCTTTATAGTGAGAAAAGGTCAGAGCATTGATTAAAGAAACAGAATATTTTCTCTTTGCATTAGGAAAATACTGACTTGGTCGTTGGTGTAACCGAATGACAGTTGGTTGTATACTGAGGAAAACATCGTGCCTCACATGTGCAGTGTATTTTTTTTTTTTTATACCTTACTTCCACACTTTATTATGCTGAATTTCAGAGTTCTTCAGAGTAAAAAGATCTCCTATGACTTAAGTGGAAGTAATTGACTGAAAACAGTTTTCATTTTTTTTACACTGCCATTGGCATAAGAAAAACCAGGATGTTTAAATTACCTGTTTGGCCTTTATGGAATGCCATTTTTGTACATGGCACTGTTATGGGTATAAATATTTGTTCGAGGCTTTCTGTGCCACCTGCGTGCCCAGGGATTATTGTGATGTTGCATTACCAGAACTTCACCGTGTGCTATAGCGTGAGATTAAGTGTTCCTAGCGTTGAGGCAGAATATATTTTTTATTCTTTATTTTCAATGGGATGTTCTTACCTGTCAACAAAAATAAAATAGTTTTGTTGTAACTGTCCCTTTTCTTTGACCTTGTGTGTGTGTGTGTGTGAGCACTGTTTGCACAGGCAAGGGCAGCTGTCTGGTCTGGCGTTTGGCCGCTCTTGACCATTCATGTAAACATCTGATGTACGGGACTTTTAATCAAAAGGGTAAAATTATGCCAGCATTTTTTTTGTCTGGAGCAATTAGTGTTTGAACTTGGGTTGGTCTGTGCTTTCATAACAGCAACTTAGGAAAATATTCTACTGTTCGGTTTTGCATATAGCGTTTTGCCACTTAGAGAATTCTCGTGTAACCACTGCGGGGACAAGACTGCTAAAGACTCTTCGTCCTGGGTTCAGGTGAACACCTGGGGTATTTTAAATCAAAGCAGTTAATGGCAATAGGTTTGAACTTCATACACTTCATGATTTCTAATTTCTGACAAACCCAATCCTGTTTCGGTGGCTGTTTGCAGTGATCAGCCTGCACATGAGAAGTAACTTAAATTGGGTTAATGGCCACCTCAAATCCTTCACAGGCAAATTATGGAACCTGGAAGTTGATATTAACGATAGTCCACAGGCACTTTGCATCTGATCTGTCTCAAAAGATACTTAATGTCATAGAATCACAGAAT